CGCCCCGGCCAGATAAAATAAGCAAATAATATTAACAATTAAAATGACGTTTAAATAAAAAGGTCTTTGCCTGGCGCCGAAAAGCAAATAACGACGGCACCAGGTGGACCTCTCTGGGGAGTGCATTCCATAGATTGGGCGCCACCGCAGAGAAAGCCCTCTTCCGAGTACCTACCCTCCTAATTTCTTTCACGGAAGGGCCTCTCCCGCAGATCTCAAGGGGCAGCCAGGCGTATATGGACGTAAGCGCTCCTTCAGGTAGCCAGGACCCAAGCCGTTTAGGGCTTTATAGGTCATCACCAACACCTTGAATTGGGCCCGGACTTCAATGGGAAGCCAGTGAAGCTGACGGAGGACTGGAGTCATGTGAACATAACATCCCTGCTTAGCTGTTATAAATTCTGGGCTGTGGCTTCCTTTATAGAGTCAATCCATCTCTTATCTGGTCTTCCCTTTCATCTTCTGCCTTCTACTTTTCCTACCATAATTGTTTTCCCCAGGGAGTTCTGCCTTCTCATGGTGTGTCCAAATTACGACAGCCCCAGTTTTTTTCCATTTTTGCTTCTATGGAAAGTTCTTGTTTGATTTGATCTAGGACCCACTTGTTCATCTTTGTGTTGGTTCAGAGTATTCACAACGCAAAACACAAAGGAGAGCTGGTGTGCGTGTAATGGTTAAGGGCATGAGAAAGGGACTCAGGCAATCCTGGTTCTAGTCCCTGCTCAGCCATGGAGCCAACTGGGTGACTTTGGGCCAGGCACAGACTCTCAGCCCAACCTACCTCAAAAGGTTGTTGTGAGGATAAGACTGAGAGCAGGAGGAGGAGAAAGATGCCAGCTGTTTTGAGTTCTTTGTAAGAAAACAGCAGGATATAAATCAATCAAACAAACAAAATTGCCACCTCACTTTCAAGCTGTGAGAATTTTCTCCTGGTGTCACATTTCCCTTGTTGGATACAAGTGCCAGAATGGATGAAGAAAAACAGCTGATGGGAAGGACTATGGAGTAGTAAGCAGCATGCATGAGGAGGATATGGCTCTAACTGTGAATCCTCTTTGACCTATGCATTAATACATTTTTTATAAAATGCTGTCAAGAGTCGGAAGACATTTTGGTCACTTCCACTATTGAAACTACACATTGTCTTCACAGTTCCTCATGATCCACATCACATTATGCCTCCAGGCTGGAGCTGTGATGGATACAGATGTCTGCGATCGTGTGTGCACTACTGCTTTTCTTAACAGAAGCCAGGCTCATGCTGGCATGGAGATGTTCTGGACCTTTCTCTCAAGTTCTGCTAAAGTTAAATATTAGCAAGAAAGCTGGGCAGAAACTGCATGACAGTCGCAGACCAACTTGTCTCGACCCCAAACACAGATAAAGAAGGGTGCATGTGTGAGGGAGAGTGGGGCAGTCCAATTTTTTTTGAGCAAACATGGCATAAATGTGGGGAGCAAAATCCTCCCCACACTTGCTGCTTATATGCTTGCATGTCATGGCTGGGCAACTGGTGGCGCCGCAGCTGCTTTGGCTTACAATTCCCTCAACTTGACTATGCTGGCCAGGGCTAATGGACGCTGTAAGCCAAAATGGCTGCCAGGCTGTCCACCCCCGCTGTAGGTTTTCCTTAGTATCAAATTGCAGCTGGAAGTAAATGAACATCTATGAGATAAGCCTTGCAGAGTGGAAAGTTTTTGATCTATTGGGGCAGTATACATTTTAACAAAAATGGGTACACTCCTGTCACGTGTAGAATGAGCCTTAGACAAGGCCTCAGTGTACACGTTACACAGTAATTCTTATATATTACACCAGTGTCCCTCAACCCCAGGGTTTTCCCTATCTTTGGGCAGCTGATTTTTTTCTTTTCTTAAGAGCCTGTACAAATACCGATTGTTCATTCTCAATGGAACCCACCACCACATTTCTCTCAAAGCCACCCTCTTCTGTGATCAGTGTGAACACAGATCAATGGATTGAGGGCCTCCACAGTAATTCTGTGTTCCTGTACGATATGATCCAGTTACTCCTGATGCTGAGATGCTGCAGAATTGCATACTCTCTGCTGAAGCTGACTGGAAGGAAACACAGAATCACGCAGAAGCAACTTCTACAGGTAGGTATCCTGGATTTGCAGGAGCCATTAACTAACTTGTAGCACTAGCAGTTCTCTCACAGTTTGCTTTCATTTCTCTCCAAACCCTCAGTCCTCTTTTCTTTCATCCCCCAAGGGCAGATTACTGTTATTTAAACTGTTAGTTGAATGCTGAAAATGCACGTCCACACATAAACGTACTAGACTCTGCTAATCAGCTGAGGCCTTCTAGCAAGTCGTAAGCCAAAGACTCACTCCCTCTCATGCCCAAACATGAGGCACAATAATTTCACCTCTGCCCCGCTCTTACTAAGGGACCTCAGCTGAGATCAGTGGCACAGTCCACTGGGGACTCTGCTTTACAGTGCTCTATCCAGGGGGGTAAATGCAGCCAAATTGTAACTGGGAAGTAGTGCAGAGAAAGCAGAGCCCAAGTACTTCTGATGGAAAGGAGCTGTACGTGCACAATTGCATCAGGGGAAACTATGAAGAGGGTATGTAACGAAAGCTATGATACGGTGATACCAGTCAATCCAGCCTGTAGCCTTCACTGGAGGAAGGGGCAGAGTCATCCATTACGTGCAGTGACAGCCCAGAGAGTCTGTCAGAGGTGATAACAAGGCAGGACCTGGTAATTATAGCTCCAAAGGCCCGAGGCGTCAGCTGGCTGTATGTTTCCATAAGGCTGACCCATGTTTCACCTTGCTCCAAAATGACAGCTTGCAAAAGGCACCAGAGGCCCAGGAAGCTCAGCCAGGTGTCGCCCTGCTCTTTTGTTTGCACTTTGCTAAAAAAGGAGCTGAGATCCTAAGGAAAACACAGCAACACGAACAAAGAAGCAATGATGTAAAGTCCAGAATGAGAACCTGCACCAGGCCAGCCTCTTGCAGACATGGCTGCTCTATGCCCCACGGGTGGCAAAGACGTTTTGTCCTGATTGACGAAGGGGAAAAGAAGTGCTCTCATCAGCACTTGTGGGCCAACAGCCAGAAAAGGGCCAGGCTTGCAACAACTGAAGCCTTGCCTGGGGAGGGAGTAGGTGGTGGGGCAAGAGGACAAAAGAAATAGAGTATGTCCCTTCACTGCATGATTAACACGAAGCCAACAATAAAGGCAAGGCTTGACCAAGTGGAAATAGACACACGCAATGGAACACCTTGCTACAAAGCAGCCCTGTGCAACAGCAGCCGACCACCAGAAAAAGCAATGGCTGACTATTTTGGTCCAGCAAAGAGCTCGCTTTGGGCATAAGCGCTGCCCCACAAAAGTGCCATGTGGCTTCATCTGTGCCGCACAGGGAAGCTTTGCCTGTTTTGGGACAGGGAAATGCATCTCATTGCATTCCTTCCTCTTACATGCTCCATGTTTGCCAGGCTGAGCTGCACATGCCGAAGCTGTAAATAGAACAGGTAAATTTGAAGATGAAATTTGGAAGGAGAATAGGGAAGGTGGTCATTTTGTCTCTCTGTGCCCAGCTGGTACCAGGGAATCTGTTATCCTGAGCAGGACATGCAAGGCAATGCAAACACCCACCCCCCACCAACAGCTTTTAACGAACATCCAAATATCCAAAGGCCTGATACAACACTTGCGTCAAAAACAAACTTAGTCTAGGATTAAGATAAATCCAAATCTTAGTCAATCTGCATTCACTAAGACAAGATTCCTACCCAAGAATCAATCCACTGCATGGGATCTCAAAAGTTTTTTCCCTGCCAACTTCTATACAGCAGGTGGGCAACCTGCCAGATGGTTTCACTACAACTTCCATTATCCATTACCTCTGTTACCTCTGCTAGCTGAGGGTGATGCAAGATGGAGACCAAGAGAAGTGGCAGGCCATAAACTGACTACCCTTCCCTACAGATTCCCTGCTATTCCCGCGGGAACAGTAAACCCACCATCACCTCTATCTGAATTGCAGACAAGGTAGAGGACTGTACTGTGGTCAAAATTCTGTCCACCCTGCCAGAATCCACTGGCATCCAGATGTGGTGTTCCATGATGAGGTTGGATGGCTGAAGGTAGCCCAAACCAACCTCTTACCCTGCCTGCTGAGGCTTCTCCACTCACTCTGTCTAATAAAAGGACCATTCTTTCCTGCAAAATTATATTTGTGTTCTCTGGGTGGGTGTGGGCTCTCTCAGCCCTTACACAATTTATAGGTTTGGGCACCATAAAATAAAATCCCCCTTCCAGAGGGGATTTGGGGTGGTGGGTAGTTGGGAGACACACCCAAAGGTTTGGTACTGGAGAAAGGTTACTTGTTTTCCCCATATCCCACGATTTCCAACAATATTTCAGAGGAGGAGAATGAATGCTTCACACCTGATAAACCCAGGTAAGCAACTTACCTGTGAGATAAAATGCCTTGTACTGGTCCAGACGAAGGGCCTGTATCTCTCCGTATTTCCCAGCTGCCCCACTGTTGGGATGGAACAATGTCTAGAGGAAAGAAATATTTAGAGTTTTAGAAAGCTGGCCCCTTTGCTTAGGATAGCCCGGAAAACATACATGACTGAAAGAGTAGCCATGCATCTAGCCACTCCGTTCCTGAGAACAACTAGGGCCAACCTAGGTGCATGGCTAAATACAGCTTTACATTTAACATTGCTGAGTTTGTACTTCAAATGAAAATAGCATACACTGGGGTGCAGAGAAAAAACTATTTTTCCCCACCTGCTTGAGTCAGAAGTACTTCGAAAGAAGGATGGCCACACGGTGTACATTCACACTAGAGTTGGAAGGGGCCTATACAGTGGTACCTCGGCTCACGAACTTAATCCGTTTCACGACTCTGGTTGCAACCAAAGTCAAATGTCCCCATAAGGTTCAATGTAAATAAGGTTAATCCATTCTGGTCCCTCCAAATGTGGTTGTGAGAGAATTTTTGGTCACGAACCAAGTCAAATTTCCCCATAAGGTTCAATGTAAATATGGTTAATCCGTTTTTTTAATCAGAAAAATTTGGAACAAAATGACAAAGATCAACAAAGTAACAAAGTAGTGTACAATACAGTGGAGAACACTAACCTAGGTGGGGGGGGAGGTTATTGTTTTGAGGGAGAGCCCCCCTCCATAAGGGCATTGGGGAGTTCTCTTTCAGGGGTATCCTCTCTTTGTCTCTTAGCTGCAGGGTCAAT